GTCGAGTAGTGCTCACGTATTTGGGGTGCTGCCACCATAATTACCCTATCTATACTCGATGCTGTTCAGAGAACGGCTGTCTAACTGATCAATGACACTTCTCTTGCGGACCATTTATGGATCTTTTCATGCCGAACGAATGCGCGGTCGGCGACTTGGCTCTCTTGTACCGCTATGCCAACGGACATTGTTCCTCAGGGCTCTCCCTTATGACGCCGCCGCACGTTGAACTTGCCAGACAGACCCGCCGGGTTTTTACCTCGCATCTTAGCTCTGTCGAACGTCGTAGGGTGTCGAGATTGTGGAGCAATAACTGTGTCTCAGTTCTGATAAGCTTGAGCAGTTTTACAAGGTATCTTAAGCTTCTTATAGTAGTGGCGGTGCCTCGCAGCTTGGGTAGAAATACACTGTGGACTGCACTGTCAGTAATTTTCCCACACACGTCCTCGCTCACCATTCACACTTTACTTGCACCCCATCATGTCATTTAGCTCGTGGAGTTAGCCATAAATAGGATTTATGTCGGTACTGGGATGTGGAGGTACCAATTTCTCTTAATTCTTGCTGATTGTAAAAAGTAGTCTCTAATAAGCAGACACATTTAATAATAGAATGTGGGGTCTTACCAATTAAGGGAACAGTAATAAGTATATTTCTGTAGGGGCTCTAGATACCTGGAAATAAAAAGGAAACATATTATAAGGGAATTTATTGGGTTAATGTTCCAAGTAACTGTTGTTAGTTTTTTAATGCGTATTTGCTCAAGTCCAATACGAATTGGTACCGAACTCTACATTATCAATATCTCAGAAACATTACTGGCTTCATTTTATCACCCAAGGGAGTTAGTTCCGGAAAAAGATCTGGTCACGTAATCAAGACAAGGGAAGTAAACAACAATTGGATAATCGATTAACCACATCACCAAAGTTTCAGCTAGCTCTTTGCCAGTCTTGAAGTTCAAAATATGTCGGTTTGAGTATAAAATCTTTAAGTGCATGTATGTTAATCTAGATAAAGTCGTAACGAGTTGCTTAAATCTCAACTCTGAATCCATAAATTCGTTACATCCCAACTAGCAAAGTAGTGCTATGAACTTTTGGTAAAAGAACTGTTCAGCCGTAAAAGCTCTTTATTGTTGTTGCCTGAACACCAAAATGCTGACTTACAAATTACAAATTACAAATTACAAATTGAGTAAGTTCTTTGCACGATAATCACAATAAAATTTTCTGCGCAAGTAATTCAATAGCCCTTATCACAGTGTAGAATTTTATCATATACCTGTGTATGAAATTCACAATGGCCGATATGTAAGTAAACAAGATGACTGTAATGTGTTAGTTACGCAACCCTTATACACCCTCTTAAATGATTGAAGTGTCCTATTAGGTGTGCCCATTCCGCTTGTATAGCTGTTCTAAGAGCCTTTTTCCAATGTTCTTACAGCATACAATGCTGTGTAAGGAAGACTGTATAATCGTTCTTGCAACTCTAATAGGAGTGATAATTGTTAGTTGGGATGGTTCTCGATGGGAATATACGTATTACTAAGATCAAGGACAATTGTCGCCTCTGAAAGTTGTAATAGCTACTTTGGGCCAAATATCACAGCAAAACATTTTGTAGCATAGTTCTTTAGTCATTTTTAAAATAAATCAGATGACTTATGCCCGTATCGTCAGTCGTCCCTACAATTGTAGCGCGCGTTTATGGCCTCCTTGATTGTCATAGTTTTCTACTTCTCCGTGTCAGCGCTCTATTTTGAGGTTATTTCACAACATCAATTTGCATCAAATTGTGCTTGGTTTTGAGTTATATAATGTTTTATCAGCCTGAAATTTCCTACAATTTAAAAGGAAAACAAATCTTCGCAATAGGAGAGCGCTGACGCTGACACGGGACGAGTGTAATCTAGAAATTTTTTAAGGAGAGAAAAGAGTATGACAATCAAGGAGGCCATAAACGCGCCCTACAATAATTGTAGGGTCGACTGACGACACGGGCCTTAGTCAGCTGAGTGTCGTCTGCGCAAGGTTGGATATTACAGTGTTGAAGACAAGCATGTTGATCAAATGTAAATGTTCCAACACGGAGCCTTGAGGTACACCGGCTGGAACATTTTCCGCCGATGAAACACCTTCTAGGTACGATGATTCAAAGAAACGTAGTGTCTTGTCAGTAAGACCATAAAATTTCAGCTTACTTAAGAGAATACCATGATGTACCATGTCAAAGGCCTTAGAGAAGTCTAGCAGAATCAGGGCAGTCTAAAGATGATACTGACAAGTATGAGTCTTTTTGCCAACCGTGGTACAACCGACCTCTACGATATCAGAAAACCACAGTTCTCCGCCAACCCTGAATGACAGTTTCCGCTTTTAAGCAGGCGAACAAGTTCGCCCACCACATATTATACTACCGTTTCTCAGGGGAGTATTAAATACTTACTATACCATATGAGCAAATTTCCCAGAAATAATTGTCAAGTCTGGTTTTATTCGTACAAGTTGTTCAAGGAGGTATTTAAAACACGGACGCATAAAGTGGGTACACCAATCTTTGCGGGAAAAATTTTTATTTGACAAAGAAGAATGGGGTTCAATCGAAAGTGTTGACAGGAACTTTCCATATAAGATTCTTAGATATTTATGAGACCTACAAAATTAGACCCCACGCAAAAAGATCCGACTAATAGCAAAAATGTTATGGGCGAAAAATGCAAGTTTTGGCACTTGTTGGTAATGCGACGATAATTTCACGCAACTACTTGAAATTATTCAAATGCGTAGGATTTATACTTCTAAATAACAGCAACAAAATTGCATTATATTGGTCAAGTAGTTTCTTGAGAATGTCTAATTGTTTATTCCAAAATACCTGTCTTCCGGCCATCACTACTAGTTTATTGAGCAATATACAGGGTTCGTTCAAAGAGCATTTAATAGTAAAATACACGGGTTTATCTTGCCGATATGAATCACAAACCATTCCGAAACATAAATGTTATTTTTATGCGAAAAACGAAGGTTTTCGGCTATAACTTTTTTGCTATTAGTCTGATCTTTCTACGTGTGGTCTCATCTCATAAATACCTAAAAACCTTATACGAAGAGTTTTTTCGTTCCTGCCAACACTTTCGATTGAATCGAAAAAAAGAAGTTTTCTCATTCTTTGTTGTCGAATAAAAAGTTTCCCCACACCCATTTTATGCGTCCATGTTTTGAATACCCCCTTGAACACCTTGAAGCAATAAAACCAGGCTTCACAATTATTCCGCAAGCTAGGGGTATTTTCATCTAATATGACTAGACTATAAACACAAACTGTCTTTCTACCGTCTCAACGATCATAACCAACCGTACACAACGTAGTTCCATAACTTTTAGCAATCATCAGTAAGGTATAGGTTTAGTCCTTTGGAGACAGATAACGGAAAGCAAACAAGCGGAAAACTAGATAAGCAATAAGTCAAGAATAAGCAGAAAAAAATAATAAAATGTTATGTAACAGACCCTCACCGACGAAGGTTATGACATTTCGTCTGCCGTAGAAGCACCTAAATCACAGAAACATAAACCAGCAACATTCAATGTGTTATTTGAAGCACCATTTTGAGAAAAAATGAAGAAAAGGATACCAGTTTCTTTGCGAACCATTATCTCGCCTTTCTTCCGGTATACGAAATGTCTATAATAATTTGGTAATAAAACCCGTCATTATACACCGAGATATCTTCAAGAGGCTTAATTTCCAGCTCCGATTTTAACGGTTACTTAGAACGACCGTTGTTAAACAAAGGAAACCACGCGAAGCATGCACAATCTTGCTTCAGCAACTGTGCTTATCTTTTATAATGATCAAGACTGGTAATCTGACTTTTTGGTGGCACTGTTGGCAGCAACGATTGTTTTTTATACGCTTGTGATGGTAGGAATATTAGTCGCGGTCATTACTACTGTAATTTATTCATGAAATATACTGCAATTTGATTTTATACTCTTCATGCTTTTGCAGTGGCGCATAAACAGATATAGCTTAAATTGTATGTATCTCAATAAAAAATCTACTACTCGCAAAGACATAACTAAAAAAAACAAGGGAGGAAACGCTTTTGTATTAAAAATAGTTATACTATACACCTTTCAAAAGTACAGATTTAGCGGCATCGTCAAGCGTCATTGTCATTTTGATTGGTACTCCTAAAAAGTCCACCAGTGGCGCATACGCGGATCCATTGAGATTTATTATGATAATTTATCTGGATTTTTGGGTGTTGCTATTATACACCTACCCAGTGAAAGCCCCCTATCTAGACCAATACAGACTAATAACAAGCTGGCAAAAAATACAAATATTACAGCATTTATACGATTTTCAGCACAACAGAGCTTTTTGTCACACTAATACCAAATCTGGAGTTGGTTTGTCTCTGCGAGGTAATTTGAAGGTTACTTTAAGGTCATATCAAGGACATCTTCAAAAGAAGGCGAGTAGTTACTTATGTCTTTCTGGTTACTTAGTCCGACTCAAAGATCAATTAGTTACTATAAGGGTATCTGAAGCTTACTTCAAGGACGCATTCAAAATAAGTCCAGCATTCAAGTTCATCGCGTGTCATGTAGTTTTTCGCGGTTCTTGAGTCCAAATCAGGGATCAGTTTGTCTCTAGGAAGTTATTTTAAGCACATCTAAAGAAAAAATTCGAAAAAGTCGAATAATCATGACCGACCACCTGCTATAATATGGAAGTATAAAATGTTTTCTCTCTCAAGTTTCTGAAAGTAAGTAAACACTGACACTAGACTTTATCCGGCTGTACTTTAAGGTTCACAAACATCAATTATTCCAATTGGGGCAAAGGGCGGAACCTTAATAAAAACCTGTCTGACTAATACTAATATAAAAATAGTAATAAGAGCAATAATAATGATAACAATAATAAAATCGTAATAATAATAATATGCAGCACACTGGCAGCTACCGACTACAAACGACGACATGATGCTGTACGAAAGGTAGTTCACCGCGCCCCTACCGTTAGGCACAATCTTATCCAGGAGAGTAGGTTGACTATAAGAATGTACCATCCAGTATGATCTATAATCAAAACTACAAGTTTTAATGGGACAGATCCATCCTTACAGACAGACATACCTCTGCAAATAGACCAGATCTACTATTATGGGATATTAAACAAGAAGTTTGGATAGTAGACTTCGCAGTCACCAATGACAATAATGTAGAGTCAACTGCCAGAAACAAGGTAGAAAAATATAGGGAGCTGGCTCAGAACCTCAATGAGCAATGGGGCCAAGCACAAGTAGAAATCTGCCATAATTCCCCTCAGCTTAAAAAATCTCTAGTGAAACTGGATCTTATGCAACCGTTGATTGCTAAGATGCAAAAGGCTGCTATCCTTAATACTTGTACAATTGTAAGGTAGTAAGTAATGGGAAGTTGATAAGAGCAATAATGTTAGGCAAATGCGCTCTGATATGCAACTATCTGAGTGTTCGGATATCTCTTGCTGTGTACTAGAGTAGAGAATATGAACCCCAAGGGGGGAGAAGAAAAAGAAGAAAAAATCATAATTATGTTTATTGGAGCACTTATACTAAATACAGATAAATCACTCCAAAAGGCTGAGGATTGGCATTGCTATTTTTCATCGTCGCCTAGAGCGATTATTACAATCAATCATCAAGTTAAAACTATTTTATATAGTCGAGTTTCATCTTATCTCTTATTTTACATAGAGTAAAGTAATGTTATAAATTTTAGGTACCAATGTAAATAAAACACAATATTAAAACATTAGTTAATAATCTGTAGCTTCAGAAGCTTGTAGCTGGAGAAGCATCTTCTTGAATTTCCTTCTGGAAGTAATTTGGAAAAGTTCTAAGTATTTATTCAACAAGCTGCTGTGTAAGTGAAAACTTTTTTGAATTTAGATGTCATGTGGCCTGGCTTATTATAAGAATCACCTTTTCTTAGAAAATATGGCGAACAGAGGATCTCTTCTCCAAAATATTATACAGATAATTTGGAGGGTTCTATGATAAAATTTTATAAAATAGAGCACCATAAAAAAGCAATGAATGGTACTTATATTTCAAAATATATTCTCTCACATAGTAACCAGTTTTTTTGTTTTATTTTCTGTGTAAGGAAGTTCTAATAAACTGTGGCACCATAATCCAAACGTGTGAGTATATCATTAATTTAATATCACTTGTCAATATGCGTTTATATCTCCAAAGTGTTTTATATTTATAATAATATAGTTCGAGTTTATTCATAACATGACATTTGAAACTTAAATTTGTATTTAACAGTATTTCCAAACTTTTGTTTCCTCTGCAACTTAAATAATGGTACCATCTAAAAGTATACTTCTGTACCCGAGACTTAAACTATCGTAAATCCAAAAACTAAAAGTTTTGGGTAATTGATAAAATAAACAAAAATTTCAACACAGTTTCGACAACAGTCATATCGTATTTTCAAAATTTAAAAGATCAAAATTAAAAAGGTGGTGCTTAACAAAATAGAGTCTTTAGTAAATATTTTGAGGTAATATTATTAGAATACCTCAAAATTGAGTCAAAATGGACTTACGACTGTTTACCTCTCAGCTACTAATTTGTATTCATTGCTCTTTTGAATTTTGGATCAACCTGTCTTAAACCAATATAACAATGTTTAGTTTTTGTGGGGTTAAGTCTTAGACAATAATTATTTGAATATTCTGTTATCATTTCTAAATTTGTGTTAAGCTCAGATATAAGATATTAGAATATTTGCATCATCTGGTTTACATGACATATGTTTGTACATCATCCGCATACAAGTGTACATTCCAACAGGATAATCCATTCAGTTTACAGGATACATGAAAACAACAATAATCATAGATTTCTATCTCATCAAATGAGAGTCTGTAATCTTTTTATTATGATTCATATTTAGATGCTCGAATATATTCAACACATAACACAACGGTTTTTCCAGAAATTTTTACTTTAAAAAGTAGTGTTGAATACACTACAAACTTCAAGTTTAATAGTCTGGTAAACGTAGTGTAAGCAAAGATCTGATCCTCTGATCAATTTACTGTATAAGCTACTGACTTTAAAATAGGTTTTATTTTCGATACCTTGTTTTTTCAATTTTTGACACGTTTTCGCAGTGTGCGTCGTGGGATACATAATGAGCATGTTTTGGTGAGGAAAGTTCGCAAACTTTGAACGAAAGTGCTCGGCGATTCACTCACTCCTGTGACCAGCAAATATGTTAACAGACTGACATACAGATATTTTTTGAATCACCCCATCTGAAGCCGCAAAGTATAATAATGCACGTGGGTGATTAATGACTGCCCGGTAGGCTAACCAGGATTTCTGCACTCTAAATCATTACCATTTCCTTGTAACCGGTGTTTAGTTGTAAGAGAAAAGCGTGTTCCTATGTCATGGTGTCTGATCGTAACGGTTTTCCGTCATCAGACCATGACGGTACGAGACGGTACTTTACCGTCGCCGGTATATTGCATCCTGTGTAACCACGCACACATCCACATATTGCACACACCCTCTAGTTAACCGAAAAAGGAAAGGAAGCTTTTATCGGTTTCATGTTTGCTGAATGGGGTACGGCCGTTGGTACACTGATAAAGGTATCGTCAAACAATGCATGCTCATCAGTTGTGTAAACTTTTTCCAGCTATGTGTGTGTTCTATAAATTGCTCATCATCATTTGAGTCAATTGACAAAAATTGAGTGGGATTCCGTGGAAGAAATTGGAGGAGGTCACTTTTGTGAGATTGTAGGAGGCAACGGGTATCGCCTAACTAGAACAAAGTGCAATTTCAATAGCTGGAAAGAAGGTTAACACATACTTAAATAATACCCTTTTGTTCGCTAGTTCGATAGAAAAAACATATCTGAAATTCGTACATTGAACCAGAATTTATTTAAAGCCTCTGTATTACCCACCTAAGAAATCAAATGATTTGTATGTCATGCTTCAATCCTAATTTTTTTGTGACTTGGCTTAACTACACACAACGCGGGGGCGATGACGATTTTTCGCCATGCTTCTCAATGTTTTTGAAACGCAAAAAAAGGGGAAATCGTAATGTATAACTTTGAACATATATACTCTACAGACTATCTCAGCATTCTGCAACCAACAAAGCATGATGGGAAACTGACTTGCAGCTTGCGTCATAGTCATTGAGCGAGTCGTGTCGTTCAGTCATTCCTCCATAGAAAGATGTTTTTGATGACGATCACAGCGCTCATAGGGAGCAAACGCGGAGTGTACTATTTACACGCTAGGAACTATCTCGACAGCAAGATTTTGTTGGCTTTTGTTGAGGTTTTTTAGGTTTTTTCTTATAAATTTTGAGCAACACACTAATTTAGTTTTGAATTCTCTTGGTTGGTGCTCGCCACATCAAGAGTCGAATTAAGCGGTATGATCTTCAGACAAGTTAAAACTGCACGCGTCATGGACGTGGTTAACTCGAGAACAAACTGTTCCATTTGACCTTGCCATGTGTTCCTTATGTTTTGCGTTAGTCGAAACTGTAATACCTAGATGATGACTAATGATCTCATTATCACTGGTAATTAAATATATATAATTAGGGATCATACCGTATCAAAAACATCTGTCGTATGCCATATGCCCAATGTCCCACTACTACTTTAAAAAAATATCAATAATCGAATGGGGTTGTGTGATGACACAAAATCGTCACGAACCAGGGACGGGATAGTTTTTAGCTTCTGGTCGCTGACGATACATTATCGAGATCACAGCACGCTAGGATGAATATAATTATCCAAAACGGCAGTTTCATTAGCGACCTTCACTTGGTGAACAATCTATTAAACCCAACCTTTTTTTGAGAAATATCTTAATGCTTCAGTATTTTGGTTTCGCTTCTCACCTATTTAATAATAAAGTGACGTGGAAAGTTTAGGGGTGTGCCGGTAGACAAAGATAATACAGCCAGGACAATTGCAGGAATAGTAAACAAATCGTTTCAGATACTATGCGAGGGCGGTCCGACAAATACTTAGCCTCACCGCCCGATGGCGTCACTACCGCAAGAGAAATTTACTATCGTGTAGTAAATTTTCGTAGATGAATACTGTCAAAAAGTCAGCCGAATCGGACTCGTAGTTTTATTTTGACTCCGTGTGGAAGCGGGCGTGTCCGCGGATTTTAGAAAAATGGAAAAAGAGTAGTACCTATCTGTCGGTGATTCCGTTCTTGGTTTTGGAAGGAAATCGCGTAGCGAAATCAAAGAGACACCGTTAAAAATCGGTTCAACGAGTTTCAACATGGTCGCACTATGGTTTTTGATGAGCCATGCCCAGGTGCTACAAAAACAGCTACCACGGATGATAATGTGACAAAAATCCACGATCTCGAATGCCGCTCACTAAAGGTGCGTTAGACAGCTGAGCCAGTATGCATCTCAGAAGATAACGTGGGTCATATTCTACACAAAATATTGGGCATGAGAAAGCTGGTTGCGCGATGGGGACAACATTCGTAACCGTGAGACTACTTCAGAGCAGTGTTTGACGCTGTTTAAGCGCAATCCGACGGAGTTTCTGCGTCATTTCGTGAAAAAATCAGTCGACGGGCAGAAATTTGAGTCGAACGAGGAGGTTATCGCCGCCATGGAGGCCTACTTTGCAGATCTCCAGAAAACTTATATTCAGACGGGTTAAAGGAATTGAAGCATCGCTGGGTCAAGTGTATCGAGATGAAAGGAGACTATGTTGAGAAATAAATCGCATGTTTTCCATAATTTTGGTTCCTCTTTTATAGGGTTGGTACTTATCGGACCGCCCTCGTATGTATCTTGATTACTCGTAGGTGCACCGTGTGTTACAGTTTCGACCCTCACCACTGGGATCCCGGAAACGGTAAGAGATTCCAAGTCGGTTAAATGGGGCAAAGTCGAGAATTTGGATAACTAAGAAAATGGCACTTATAAAGTTTCACGATTCAGAGTATTTCTGCGGAGACGACAAGAACCGAATTTCACCAAAAATTTTATGATATCAAATTAACAAGAAAAACTACTAACTCAGGTCAGGAGTGCGAAAAAACAGTATTGTTTTTTAAATACTGGAGATTTAAATGAATTGGTGGAATTCATTTACAAGCAAGTGGAACCAGATAATTTTGTATAAGATAAAAATGAGAGCACTTTTGGGACGAGATTCAGCGGTACTAAATACAAATTGCTTTGACATGCAACACAACAGTTTCATAGAACAACTTTGCCTGTTTTGCGGTGTACTGAAAAGACTTTTGAAACTTTTAAAATATGTGTAGGATAAATATTTACAAAATCTTCAACCTTTCGATTTTATGGGAGTATTGAAAGTTAGGTTTCGAATGACTCTTTTTTATA